AAAAAAAACTGCTGAAAAGTAGCTAAAACATTCAGAAAGAAGTTTAAATTACTAGAAGGAAGGGGGGAGAGAACATTGTTGCTGAAATAGGTTGAAAAAAATTGAAATGAAAGCAAAAAATGTGGAATTAGTTGAAAAAGCTAAAATAAGAATTAAAAACAGCTAAATAGTAGCTGAAATAGCAAAAAAGGTTGGAACTTGCATAAATAAGCTGAAAGGAGCATAACAAGCTGAAATTAGCTGAAATAAATTACAAGAAGCACAAAAATGTAAAGTTAGCAGAAATAATCTGAAAGGAGCACAAAACAGCTGAAAAAACAGCTAAAATTAGCTGAAAAAGTAGCTGAAAAAAGTTTAAATTTGCACAAGGAAGCTGAAAGAAGCCGAACCAGAACAAACTGTGAAAGGAGCAGTAAAAGGTTGTAAACAGGATGTAAGAGGATGTAAAATGAGCACAGTTCATTTTCTATGAGGCAAATAATAGCAGAAAAGGGCTAAATATTTCAAAAAGCTAAAGTTGCACTAACCCCAAAAGTTACAGCACCCTAATCCTGAACGAGCTGAACGTTTTGATTTATGATTTGTTGAAATAGCACAATAACTATGGAACGAGAATCACGCCAAAAAACATTCGGAAGGAAGTAGATAACAATAGTGTGAATGCTTCATAAACATTCACGCTATTAAAGAAAAAATAAACAAAGAAAATGGAAGTATTTATTTTCATTTTTTAAATTCAATCACATATCCAACAAACTGGCCTAATTTTTAACGTTATGCTTTATTACTTCATAATAGGATACTTTATGAATTGTTATAGCAATGAAAAGGAAACCGCACATCATTCTGCATACTTGTGTTTGAATTTTTACAAAATTGGTAAAAAAAATAAAATAATTTTTCTTCTTTACATAAATCCAGTCTTTTATTTTGCCCTAAAATATCCATCCATTATCTTTTACCCGCTTCTTCCATTTTGGGTCACGGGGGTCGCCGGTGCCCATGTCCAGCAATCACTGTGCGAGGGGCGGGGGACACCCTGGACAGGTTGCCAGTCCATCACAGGGACATATAGAGACAAACAACCATTCACTCTCTCACTCACACCGAGGGACAATTTAGAGTTACCAATCAGCCTAACATGCATGTTTTTGGTCTGTGAGAGGAAACCGGAGTACCTGGAGAAAACACACACATGCACAGAGAGAACATGCAAACTCCACCCAGAAAGGCCCCCGGACCGGGATTTGAATCATGGACCTGCTCGCTGAGAGGCAGCAGCTCTACCGGCTGCGCCACCGTGCTGCCCCGCCCTAAAATATAAAAATATCAATACATTTTAATAATAATTTCATATTTTAGCTTTATAATATCACACCTACTGGCCAGAGAGGCCCCCTTCCAACAGGCTTGAAGTGGCCCATGGGCCACCAGTTGATAATCACAGTTTTAGCAGGTTTTGCGGCTCCATAGACATTTGATTTAATGTGCAAAGGGACAGAAACGTCTCTTTTGATCATAAAGTTAGCAGAGTCCTGTACAGACCAAAATCTTAGAGAATAAACAATTGGAGATCAAAATATCTGTTAGGTTGGTCGGACAGGGTCAAGTTACTGTATCTTTAAAAACTAAAGTGACCTCACCATTTTAACTATTTATTTATTTATCAGCAAGGCTCAGGCTCCAAATGCGAAGAAAAATACAACCTTCCTTATATGGAGAGAACCTTATAAACGTGGAAAGCCCACAGCCCCCGTGCTGCGAAACCAAACCGGGTCTCTAAATCAACAGAAGCCTTAAAACACGTGATCAGACAGACGACAACCTGCACTTGAACACGTTTCTGATTCCATTAATTCCGTTTCTTTCCGTTTACTTTTAACTTACGGGCCTGGCTTCACGTCCATCCCCACAAAAACAAGTTCAAAGGTTCGTGTTATTCTTTCCAGATGACGAGCTAAACTCCTCATTTATCATCCACCTCGCTCAGAGCAGTGCATCTACGAGTACGCAACACATGAGAACACTTTGGAGGCTGGATTAAACTCCACGTTTAGGTCTAAAATTAG